GTGGCTGCTGTTTTTGCTTCTTTTGTCTGACTGTTACAACTCTCCCCAGTATGTGTTACAACCTACCCCGGTAGCGGGGTAGATTGTAACAAAGGCACTCCATGTATTTGACATCAACTTATAAGGGCTGTGATATACTTGCAGAGATTTGAATTGGTGCCTTTTGTAGTGAACAAATGTGGGTACTTTGTATAAATGTTTGAGCACTCTAGCTAAAAAATTCAGCGAGTTACAGATGTTGAAACAAAAAGTGTTACAACCATACCCGGTCTCCCCCTATATAATCTGTTACCTCAACAACATCCACAAAACATCTTTAAAATGTTGCAGATAAAATGTTCTAGCTTAGTTAATACGTCACATTACAAGAACGTTTTATAAAAATATTCCATCTCCTCTGGCCTCAACGATATTCTTATAATGTTCTCCTAATGTGGCTGAGAGAATGTTCTTCCTTTGTTATCTTGAAACATTGTGTCAATGTTTTATTGAGAACATTAGGGGAGACCGGGTATGGTTGTAACATGGGGAGAGTTGTAACAACACCATTTCCACCTGTCAGGGATAAGCTAGGAGTCCTATGATAATTTCATTATTTACCCACTTTCACCCTGATTTTATATGAATGGTTGTCAAGGTTGTAAATAGGTATATGCAGATTTTATAAAGAAAAAACTGATGTTGATGTAAAAATCAAATTTTTTGGACCAAAACTATATTTTACTCAGTACTTAAACTGTTGCAGATAAAATCATATAACTTACATTAGAATAAATTATAGAGTCTCAGGCAAAATGTGATGCATTTTTAAACTGCTAATTTCAAACCATAATGATAATACAGCTAACTAAACATTGGATGACAGGGGTGGGGTAAGTTGTAACACATTTTAGCATTCCCTTACATAGAACTGAGAACTTTCATGTTGGCTATATGAAGCTTTTTTGGCAGCTCAAAGCCAAAGGAAATGTGAATAAATGCGCCCTATGCAGTTTTTGGATCCAACAAGTCTGCACTCTAGGGTTAAAAACATTGGTTTGTCACTATTGTGACTCTGATTGAGAAAATTCATACATAGTCACAATCCCACACACAAATTTACACAGTTTTTTGTTAGATCTACATATTCTTTACCTCGGGTACACTAAAGTTGAGTGTTCAGTAAGCATAAATACCGTTAAGGAGGTTTGTTCTAGTAGTCTAATTTACACACATACACGTACACACTCCCGCATCAAACAGAAAGTGGATTTGAGCTGTGGTCATTCGTAGAAAGTGTGACATTGTTTTGTATAGTTCTTTTAGATTGTTTCAATAAACCTGTTTTTGAAGCAAACTTTATGAAGTGGCTGCTGGTTTTGCTTCTTTTGTCCGACTGTTACAACTTACCCCGGTAGTGGGGTAGATTGTAACAAAGGCACTCCATGTATTTGACATCAACTTATAAGGGCTGTGATATACTTGCAGATATTTGAATTGGTGCCTTTTGTAGTGAACAAATGTGGGTACTTTGTATAAATGTTTGAGCACTCTAGCTAAAAAATTCAGCGAGTTACAGATGTTGAAACAAAAAGTGTTAAAACCATACCCGGTCTACCCCTTTTAGAAAGGGTGGCGGCCACTGTGCGGTCTCCTGAGGTGTCGGCTGATGCTGCAGATCCTCCCGAGGTAGTGGCGCACGCTGCCGTGTTCCCCGAGGCGATGGCGCCCGCTGCAGCTTCTCCAGAGGTGGCGGCCCACGCTACAGAACCTCCCGAGGCGGCGATGCTTGCTTCAGCTCCTTGCACGGTGGTGGCGCCCAGCAATACATGTTCAGCCTGTCATGTCACGGTCGAAGGAACCGTTGCTGAACTCTGTGCCTGTTTTGTTAAGGAGAATATTCATGAACTTTCCCTGTTTCCTGATGGTACGGCTGTAGAACCTCTAGAGGTGGCGGCATCCGCTGCAGAACCTCCAGAGGTGTCAGTGGTATCCACTTATAAACTCTCGTCCTGTTCTGTTCCGGCCAGGGAGGCCGTCTGGGACCCCTCTGCCAGTCCTGTAACGGCTATGGAGGCCGTCTGTGAACTCTCTGCTAGTCCTGTAACGGCTATGGAGGCCGTCTGTGAATTCTCTGCCTGTCCTGTAACGGCTATGGAGGCCGTCTGTGAACTCTCTGCCAGTCCTGTTCCGGCCAAGGAGGCCGTCTGCGAACTCTCGGCCTGTCCTGTTCCGGCCAAGGAGGCAGCCTATGAACTCTCTTCCTGTCCTGTTGCGGCTACGGAGGCTGCCCCTGGCTTCTTGCTTCGCCGGTTCGGCCTTGGTGCTCTGCTCTGCCAACTCTGCCTCAGTCCCCGGTCTCTCCACTTCCACGTGGACCTGGCCCTCCGTCCCTCCCCCTGTTCCGCCTCCGCTCCACCGCCCTCCTGGATTATATTGTGTTAGGAGCGTCTGGAAGCCGCTCCTTGGAGGGGGGCTATGTCACGAATCCGGTCTATAAACTTCCGTTCACTCACCACCAGAGCTCACCCTCATTTGTCTTGCCTCATTCATGTCTGTTTGCTGTTTATTGACCCATGCCTGTTTGTGACCACGCCTGTGAATAAAGCTCTGCATATGGATCCGCACGCTTCCTCTGTTCTCTCCGTAACACTGAGAGAATGTTCTTTCTTTGTTATATTGAAACATTGTGCCAATGTTTTATTGAGAATATTATATAATCTGTTATCTCAACAACATCCTCAAAACATCCTCAAAATGGTGCAGGTCAAATGTTCTAGCTTTGTTATTATGTCACATTACAAGAATGTTTTATAAAAAAACATTACACCATCTCAGGCCTCAGTGATGTTCTTATAATGTTCTCCTAATGTGGCTGAGAGAATGTTCTTCCTTCGTTATCTTGAAACATTGTAACAATGTTTTATTGACAACATTATATAATCTGTTACCTCAACAACATCCTCAAATTGTTGCAGATAAAATGTTCTAGCTTTGTTAATGCGTCACATTACAAGAACGTTTTATAAAAACATTTCACAATCTCAAGTCTCAGTGATGTTCTTATAACGTTCTCCTAATGTGGCTGAGAGAATGTTCTTCCTTCGTTATCTTGAAACATCGTGCCAATGTTTTATTGAAAACATTATTTAATCCGTTACCTCAACAACATCCTCAAAACATCCTCTAAATGTTGCAGGTCAAATGTTCTAGCTTTGTTATTATGTCA